GGTGGGATCTACCTCAAGCAGCTGAGTAGCTGCCTTTGGGAACGTGGTCTGCTTTCTGTGAGAAGCCTTGGGAATGGTCTCTAGCCTATGGCATGCTTGGACCCTGCATGTAGCTGTGGCATTCAGAAGCCTGCCATGCTCTGCCGACCTTGGGATTTTCAATGGACTTGAATTAATGGTCTGCTGTGTGGTTTGGTAACATTGGGACTGTGCCATTTTATCTGTCAACCTTGGGCTTGTTAGCCTCAGCAGCCAGTAGCTGCCTGAGTGAAGAGATGCTTCTAGCTTCAGTGGGTGAGGAGCAAGAGGCAGAGCTGAAGTCCAAGGTTGAGGGGCTTTCACCCAGTCCCTAGAACCTGGCACTTTGAACTGGGACTTCTAGCCTCCCGAACTGTAAGAGAATAAACTCCTCTTTGTTCAAGCCATCCCATTTGTAGTATATTCTTGTCAGAGTGGCACTAGGTAACCAGAACAACCTGAATATTGTTGGATTAAATCAATTATGATATGTCTATAATAAAAGCTATTCAACTTTTTAAAACATTGTTTATGAGATTACTTAATGAGATAAAAGGTGTTCAAAGTATTCTGTGATCTGATGAGATACAAATTATAAATATTATGGACAGTGTGGTCCAATTTTGAAAGAAAAACATATATACAGGCATAAAGCCTGAAACTGACCAAACATGGAATCAAGATGTATTATTACTGGTGATTGGAAATTGGATACAAAGAAGTATCATCACTAGTTGGAAAATATGGCCTTGGTGATAATGATGATACCAGAGATCACATGATAGAATTTTGTAAGACCAACAACTTATTCTTTGCAAACATCTTTTTCCAAGAACATAACAGTGGCTATACATGAGGACCTTACCAGAGGAAAGACACAAGAATCAAAACAACTACATCTGTGTAACAAGGCAATGGAGAAGCTCAGTATTATCAGTCAAAACAAAGCCAACAGCTGACTGGAACAGACTAAAAACTGCTTATATGCAAGTTCAAGGTGAAGATGAAGAAAATTAAAAGAAGTCCATTAGGGCCAAAATACAACTTTTATTATCCAACCTGAATTTAGAGACCATCTGAAGAATAGATTAGATGCATTTTACACCAATGACCAAAAACCAGACAAACTGTGGGATGACATCAAGCATATAATACATGAAGAAAGCAAAGGATCATAACAAGACAGGAAAGGAAGAAAAGACTAAAATGGATGTCAGAAGAGACTCTGAAACTTGCTCTTGAATGGAGAGTAGCTAAAGCAAATGGAAGAAATGATGAAATAAAAGAGCTGAACCAAAGATTTCAAAGGGCAGCTTCAGAACACAAAGTAGGGTATTACAATGAAATGTGCAAAGACCTGGAGTTAAAAAACCAAAAGAGAAGAACATGCTCAGCATTTCTCAAGTTGAAAGAACTGAAGAAAAAAATCAAGTATTGAGTTGCAATATTGAAGAATTCTACAGGCAAAATACTGAATTATGCAGGAAGCATCAAAGAAGATGAAAGGAATACACAGAGTCACTGTACCAAAAAGAATTGGTCAATGCTCAACTATTTCAGAAAGTAGCATATGATCAAGAACTAGTGGTATTTAAGGGAGAAGTCCAAGCTGTACTGAGGGAATTGGTGAAAAACAAGGCTCCAGGAATTGACAGAATAACCATTGAAATGTTTTAACAAATGGATGCGATGCTGGAGGTGCTTACTTGTATATGCCAAGAAATTTGGAAGACAGCTACTTGGCCAACTGATGGAAATAGATTAATATTTCTGCCAATTCCAAAGAAAGATGATACAATAGAATGTAGAAATTATCAAACAGTATCATTAATATCACACACATGTAAAATTTTGCTGAAGATAATTTAAAGACAGTTGCAGCAATATATTGACATAGAACTTCCAGAAATTCAAGCTGGATTCAGAAGAGGATATGGAAGAAGGTATATCATTGCTAATGTTAGACAGATCTTGGCTGAAAGCAAAGAATACCAAAAAGATGTTTACCTGTGTTTAATTAACTATGCAAAGGTGTTTGTGTGGATCATAATAGATTATACATAACATTGCAAAGAACTGGAATTCCAGAACACTTAATTGTGCTTATGAGGAATCTGTACATAGACCAAGAGGCTATGGTTCAAATAGAACAAGGGGATACTGCATTTAAAATCAGGAACTGTGCATGTAATGGTTGTATCTTTCACCATACTATTTAATCTGTATTCTGAGCAAATAATCTGAGAAACTGGACTATATGAAGAACACAGCATCAAGATGGGGGAAAGATTCATTAACAATCTGTGATGTGCAGATGACACAACCTTGCTGAAAGTGAAGATGACCTGGAGTGCTTACTGATGAAGATCAAACACTACAGTCCTCAATATGGATTACACATCAACATAAGACAAAAATCCTCACAACTGGACCAATAAGCAACATCATAATAAATGTATTGAAATTGTCAAGGATTTCATTTTACTTGGATCCACAATCAACACCCATGGAAGCATAAGTCAAGAAATCAGACATCATATTGCAGTGAGCAAATCTGCTGCAAAAGAGCTCTTTAAAGTGTTAACAAGCAAAGATGTCACTTTGAAGTCTAAAGTGTGCCTGACCCAAGGCACGGTATTTGCAATCGCCTCATATGCACATGAAAGCTAGACAATGCATAAGAAAGACTGAAGAAGAGTTGATGCCTTTGAATTGTGGTATTGGTAAAGAATATTGAAAATACCATGGACTGCCAGAAGAACCAACAAATCTGTCATGGAAGAAGTGTAGCTGGAATGCTCCCTGGAAGTGAGAATGACCAGATTTCATCTCACCTACTTTGGTTGTGTTGTCAGAAGGAACTATTCCCTGGAGAAGGATATCTTGGTCAGTAAAGTGGACTGTCAGCGAAAGGAAGACTATCAGTGAGGATTGACACGATGGCTACAATGATTGGTTTAAGAATAGCAAGGATTGTAAAGCTGGAGCAGGGTTGGGTAGTGTTTTGTTCTGTTCTACATGGGTTTGCTATGAGTCCAAGCTGACTCAACAGCATCTAATAACAACAGGCATACAGAATAAATCAAGAATATATATTAAATGGTTGACTTTAATTTTCCCTTTAAATTTTTAAATGTTTTACAATTAACATATATTCCTTTAATACTACGAACAATACAATAAGATGTGATTAGTTTACACTTTGCCCTAAAAATAGTAAACAAATAACCACTGCTTTTATAGAAAATGGCAAGAAGAGAAGATCCCCACCTGTGATAGTTGGAGCTGTCTGTCAACTTGGCTAGACCACAGTTCTGTGTGGTTTAAGCAATTGTGATGTGGGTTGTTCCAATGATGGGATCAGATGTATATGTTTTGAGCAGCCAATCTATTGAAAGGGAATTTCCCTAGGGGTGTGGCCTGCTTCCAGTATATTTATGGACATTCTGGAAAAAGAGACACTCTTCTGTGGATCTGGATTCTGCCTACAACTGTCCGTGAGCGAACAATCCACCATTCAGCCTGGAGAATGTGGATTCATCATTCATTGGAGTCAACAGCCAGTAAACTGCCTGCCAACCTTGAGCTCCTCAGCCCCTGCAGCTGCGTTAGTCGCGAAAAGCCTCCAGCTTGACGTTTGATCCAAGAACTTGGACTTGCCAGCTTCTATAAGTGTGTGAGCCATTTTCAGATAAATTTCCCTTTCTCTCTCTCTCTAGGCTTTACTAGTTTTGTTTCTCTAGAGAAACCAATCTAACACACCACCCTTCTCACACAATTCTGCTGATAGACTGGAAGAGTCATTTCTTCACCTGCCAGCCTATTACTGCCAAAATGTTGCTTTAGGGGGGAAAAAAAAAAGAGCCAAAAGCTGGAAAAAGAGTAAAAAATAAAATAAGAAATGTAAGAACTGAAAAATTAGAGAAACTCAATATGTACAATTTGGGATGGAAAAAGGTTTTACTTCCTTTTCAGCATAATGTCTTACATAAAGTAGGTGCTTAGCAAGTAGTGTCCAAGACTAAAAACTAACAAGGAAAGGAAACTGTCTAGAGCTCTGGATTAGAAAAAGGGCACAGGAAGTTTTAAGTGAAATACTGGGCTGTGTTAGTTAAGAAAATCCTACATGAAAACTATTGCAAGTCAGAATGAATGAGAACTTAGTACACGAGGTGGATATGTGGAGTATATTTTGGTAGAAGCTCAGATAAAGATATGTGACTTAGATTTGATAATAAGAAAATTTACAGACAAAATATATTTGCTTATTTCTGGTCTACCTTTAGAGAATAAATAGCTAAGAAGAAGCAAAACGTATTCTAAGACAAAAACTATAAATATAGTAAACAAATGCAACCATTGCCCTTAGTTGGATACGACCCATAGCGACCCCTCCTTGGGTTTCTGAGGCAGTATCACTACGGAAGTAGATTGCCCAACCTTTCTTCCAGGGAGTGGCTGGTGGGTTTGAACCACAGCATTCTGGTTAGCAGTCAAGTGCCTTAGGCACTAGGCTACCAGAGCTCCCATAAATATAGTTGTTGTTGTTGTTGTTGTTATTTGCCGTCAAGTCGGCCCTATAGTAGTATACTTAATTTGAATTGTTAAATATTAGAAATATCTGAAATAGTTATTTTCTGTGCTTTCCTATATTTAGTAACAAATATACAATAATCAAAGTAGATCATTATAAAGTATGCATTATTAGCACTTACATACTTCCTCCCTTACCAAATCCTTAGAACATTAATTCAATTATGCTAATGGAGAGTTAATTGCATCGCCAATCAATCCCACATATTATAACTTCACATTTCAAATTCCACTAAGAAACTCCCTTAATTACATTTGCTCTTATCAAATTGCTTTATTTTCAGCTATCTTCCTCAAAAGTGAAAACAAACATGGGCTTCATTTTGATGAAACATTAACTCCCCACATATTCATTGTTGCTTTAGTTCATCTTTTAAAATTGTACTCACCTTTGGGCGTGTCACTGAGTTTATTTCTCTGAAGAATTAGCACCTTTAGAAATGGAAGGCCATATCTGCTTCTGTGGTGCTTCACCCACGAGGACTTAAGACCTGGTAGATCCAGTGAGATGAAGTGCATGGCATTATTGCTGAGGTTTAATATTTCCAACCCTTCTAAGGATGTCAGAGTGCTTAAGGTTATTTTTGGTATGAGGTTGTTGCTGAGGTCCAGATGCTTTATCTTCCATTCTTCTTTTTTCGTGGCAGACTGTAAGAGAAGTCTAAAGAAATTGAGACTTGCATCCACTGTAACTGATGCCTGTGATGTGTCTACATGCATAGCATGCTTTCTAGAAAAAGAACAATTTGGCAGAAGATACCCATTCCATTGACACTCAGAGTTGAGTAAAATATTGGTTTTTCTTGTTTTTGCCATTGTCCCAGTAAAGCAAAGACCTATAACCATGATAATGACACTGAAATGGAGGTTTTTCATAATGCCTAGAAAAAAGAAAACAAACTAGCTTATTCAAAATAACTACATAAACTCACCTACTTTGGTCATGTTGTCAATAATAATAATAATAAAATAATAACTACATAAAAACTAACAGCAAATAAGAAGCAGGTAATTGTTCAATTTAAGATTTAGGAAAGTTATCTAGCCTCAATTGCCAATTTAAGTGGATGTTTGACTTTTCAGAAATTACTGCATTAAAATGTAAGCCAACACAATGGTATTGAAAAAAAAAAAAAAATTACTGCCATCAAGTCTGTCCCGACTCATAACAACTCCTCTTGGGTTTCTGAGGTGGTATCTCTAAGGAAGTAGATT